AATGTATTATGCGTTGCCTCTAAGGGTTCTTTTTGGGGCGCTCCTCGGAGCGACGCTTCTCGGATCGCTTTTGAGGCCTCTCGGGGGTCTTGTGGATTTTCTGTGGGCCACATGGGGGCGCAGCGCGGGCCAGCATGAGGTGATCTGCGATGTATATTGAAGGGGATCTTCGAAACCTCCTGTGTGAGGCCAATTCTTATACACCACCACCGCCCGCAACAGTAATTTACCGCAAAAAGGGTTAGGGGCATGGTCATGCCAGACGACGCTGCGACGCCACGGCGAAAAGGAGCGCGGCGCAGCTCGCAGGCGCCGTGGCATGGGGAGTTCCTGAAGCAGAAACAGCATTTCTTGGTAGTGGTGTATAAAAATCGTTCCTCTTGGTAATCAAAATTTTATACACCACCACCGCGCGTGCTTTGATACTTTCTGTTTCGGTCCTCAAGGGAGAGGAGGCAGCCCGGTCGCCGTTGGCGGCGGGAGGGGGACTGCGGGCTTTTCACCAGAGCAAAACTGCACCAAATCGCATCGTAGATTATTCTCGGTCTTGGTGGTGGTAGTCATACACTGTGCTCGGATCCCGAGGTCCCTCAAAGCCTTTGGGGGTTGTCTTGGGGCTCTCCGGGGGCCCAGCCACGGGCCCGAAGTCCGGCCGGATTCAGGGCACGCGTGTAGAAGTACGTATGGCACGAGTGCAGCTGGAGAGAGAGAGAGATATATATATATAGAGAGAGAGAGAGAGAGAGAGAGAGAGAAAGCGAGAAAGAGAGAGAGAGAGAGCGGAGGAGGCAGAGACAGAGAGAGAGTGAGAGAAAGAGAGGTATGGAGAGAGAGAGAGAGAGAGAGAAAGAAATAAAGAAAACAAAACAGAGAGAGAGAGAGAGAAAGAGAGAAAGAGAGAGAGAGAGAGAGAGAAAGAGTGAGAGGAACAGAGGTATGGAGAGAGACAAAGGGAGAGAGAGAGAGAGAGAGAAACCAAAAAAAAACAGAGAGAGAGAGAAGAGAGAGAGAGAGAGGGATCCGCGGCGATCACGGTCCCAGGAGGCGACGAAGCTGCCTCGAACGGGGATCCTTGAACCTGGTCTGGGGGGGGCGCGTCTTGGTCGGCATGTCGAGGCGGCAGCTCGCGCCTCCAGAAGCATGTCGGAGCGATTCGGGCCCAGCGGAAGTGCCTTCGGCGAGGCGCAGCTTTTGGCATGCATGCCACCGTGAATGCCTTGGGGCGAACAGCGAGACGAGGGCCTATCCTGTGTCGCGCCTCCAGAAGCCAGTCGGAGCGATCTGGGCACAGCGGAAGTGATCTCGGCGAGGCGCAGCGTTTGGCATGCATGGCTCGGCGAAGACCCTGGGGGGAAAGCTCGAAACGGGAGCGTATCCTGGGGCGCGTCTGGATCGGAATTTCGAAGCGGGAAGAGGCGGCAGTTCGGAGGGTGTTGGGCTCGATGGAACCATTCCTCGTCCTCCGTCGTCTCCCCCGCCTCCACCAGATTCTCGGGAGAGGCGAACGGGAATCGCGTGTTCTTTAAGGGGGGGACTGGACTGGAGGACCATTTTGGGGGCTCGAGAAGGACGGGCAGAGTGAATGAGTAGTAAGAAAGCTCTAGAGTACCTGCGGATGTCGAGCAAAGGTTTGGAGGCTCTAAGGGGCTCTAGAGGCGTCTCTAGAGGGGCCTCTAGAAGGGGCCTCTAGAGGGGCCTCTAGAAGAGGCTCTAGAGGGGGACGCGCGCAACTCTAGAGGGGGGACGATTGCCTCTAGAGGCGTGAGCCTAGAGTGTGCGTCTAGAGGGTACATGTTGCCAGTCTGAATCTTCAAAAGGACTTATATATATATGTGTAAATATGATTAAATACTTATCCTTCTTCTTGAGTTGATGTATGTGTTTCTCTCTCTCTCTCTCTCTGTCTGCAGAAATACATGTATAGTCCACTCTCGTTCTCTGTCTTTCGTTCTCTGTCTTTCTCTCTCTCTCTCTCTCGCGCGCGCGCTCTGCGGGGGAATGTGGTGGTACAGATGGCAAGGCGCTGCGCACGCTCAGAATTGAGCTCGAACCTACCTTGCACATCCTCGCTTATCATGAGGACGTCTCGGGAGACGCGGTCGAGTAACATCCAATAAACGAGCATTGCATTATAACTGGTGTCGCTTCTCATATGGGGCTGCAAGAGGGCATCGGAGGAACACCAAGAAGAGACCCCCCATCCGGCTGAGAGGGGCCCACTACGGCCGAATAAGGCCCCAAGACGGCCCAGGAGGGCCCTAATGGAGGGCCTAAACCTTGGATAAGAGATGAACGAACGATCGGGGGTACATGTTCCACGCTGCGGCATCCTCCCTTCGGTGCTGCCCGGATGAAGCTATGCTGTGGTCGCGCGAATCGCGCCTTAACTTCGGTGAGCTTTGGCCCGCTCGGTGGGAAATCCGGGAAAACTGCCAGGGCTGGAATTACTCAGCTGTTTTTCGGGGAGCCCAGGATCAGCTTCAAATGTCCTCCACGATGGATCCAGAAAAATGACACGCAAAGGCAGCAAGTGGCGCCAATATGGCCACGCAAAGGACGCCCGAGAAGCACATTTACAATTTCCGACCCTTGAACATAATTCATCGGTGGCGTTCACAACGTTCCAGTTCAGTACGTGGAGGGGGAGTGTGCACACAATTCGATTTGGGCAACTCGAACACCGCGTTTTCCGTATGGCTCACAGAAGCTCTCCCGTATAACATCTCCCTGCTGATTTGAAAGAAAGAGAAGGACAGGGCGTGTCCCGAATCCGTATCGCCTGACCAACAGTGCGACAAGCAGCGCCATGAGAGCGCGGCCTCCTCGTCGTCCTGCTCCAGCTGCCGTCTGCTCTCCCCCTCCTCCTCTCCTCCTCCTCATTCTCCTCCTCCAGCCCCTTTTCCTAATAGAGGACTCACTTCTGTCGCGCCCCAAAGCGTGTCGGTAGGGCGGGCTGGGCGTCTTGCCGTAAACGCCATCGCAATCTGTGACCCTGAAAAAAGAATGTGCAACGGTTTCGTAGATCGAACACACGTCGTTGAAAAATGAGGTTATCGCCCTTGCGGCGGGCACGTTCGTCTTACAGTTCGCAACGGCTTCCTGTATTGTTGAGGTGACTTCTTAACTGCAGCTCGCACTTCTAAGCCGCGCGCATTCCTATCTTATACGATTACATCAGCTACAAGGATGGGTCATAGGTCGTGTCCAACATGCAGCCCTCACTTCAGCGCCACGCACATTCATTATACCAGTCTCCACATCTTCAAGGGTGGAGAATGGGGTCGTTTTGAACATGGGGCTCTCGACCTAGCCTCGCGTACACTCGTCTTAGTCTTTTGCAGCAGCAGGGGTGGGCAGTACCGCGTCCGTTACTGTCCCGATGCAAGAAACTTGGGCAGCTCTGTTTCACTTCTGGGCTCTCGTTTCAGACTCCCTCCAAGTCCTTGGCCAGAGGTGCAAACTTACGCAACACTTACATGACCGGGAGCCGTCCTTTTTCCAACCGGGGATCCCGCAGGACAACCCGTCGAACTCTATGATCATACCTGTTGGCGAGTTGTAAAAAGAAAAGGCTTTTACTTGTCTTACGACTTCCCAGCGAGGAGAAAAAAAACACTTCCTTTCCACAACGAGTTCTCGCATGAATGACAGGCCTCTGGGATGCGGGTGCTTCAACTGGACGCTTGTTGTAAGGAGTTCTGAAGATGGGCCTTGGGACGGCAGAGTGAATTGCAGCATCGTTGATGCATCCTGGGTTTACTGTGGTCCTCATCCTTCTCCTCTTCCTCTGCCCTAGTCTCCCAAGCTTGCTTCGCGCCGCGCAGAGCGAGAGTATCTTCAAGCTCCGCGCGAAGAAGGATTGAAGAAGGATAGCGCTCATGTTCAGGCCACGAAGCACGAAACTCGGTCGCCTTCCCACACCCCCGCGGGAGAGCATGGTTATCCTGCTCCTCTCCTGCTCGTGCCTCCACCCTGCGTCTTCTAGCTGTAGATCTACACCTGCTGCTGCTCATTATTCTCCTACTGATCTCTGATTCTGCTTGGCGAATTCCTCAAGAGATTTGAGAGACGGACGCCCATGTATCCTAACGGTCTTGCTCCTGCACTGGTGCTGGCCCTGTCGCCCCACCTTTCCTTCCCGCCCTCGTCGCCCCTCTAAAACTATCCCCCCGTCTCCTCTCCCTCTTTGTCTTCTACTCCCCCCTGCATCGCTTCCATCTCCCTCGTCCATCGCCCCTACCTTTCCTGACCCCATTCACACCTCTCCTTCTCCACTCCTCCCTCTTCTCCCCTTCCCCTTCCCTGACTTTCCCCCTGCAGACCTCGAACGTCCTGTCCAAATTTGCTCGTTGATCCTTTCACAGCAAGGGTTCCCGGAGCCCTCGACCCCGTCCCCCCTGGACCGCAGGGCGCTCTTTGCACCCCCCCAGGGCACGAGGACAGGTCCGTGGGCGCTACATGCAATTCGGCTCTAAAAAACCACAGCGCACGTCGTGGCTTTTCTGTTTGGTTTTTGTCGCAACGTCTACTGATTTGTTCTCACAACTTTCGGTCTCCGGTCGGGGTCAGCTTTCGGAATCCGGGACGGACAGCCGATCCCGGGAGTGGGTCAAACCTACGGGCCCTGGCTTGGCCCTCGATTGGCCGCGCGCACGAGGGGATGGCGCGAGAGGGGGCGACCATCCGAGACGCGGGGCTTCTTCAAATGCAGCGGCCTTCTGTAGAAGGGCCTGGAAGCTTCTAAGAAGGCCTCCCGGAGGGCTTCCAAGAAGGCCCCTTCCTTCCACGGAAGCCCCCCCCCCTCGTCTTCTTGGAACGCCGCCTTCACCACCGTCTGAGCGCCGCCAACTCACAGTTGACCTCCGTTCCTCTCCTGCAGCGCGCTCGGGCCGGGACCTCGAGGCGAGCCCGGCGCGGGGCACCCAGGCCCCGACCGGCGATGCCATGGGCGATTGGGGGCCGACGTCCCGACTCTCCGGGGCAGTTCCCCCCCGTCGCGCCTGCTCGAGCCCCTCGAGCAGCTCCGGCACGTACTTGGCCGGATCGGTGGCCTGCGAGGAGAAGTAGGGCTTCTCGACGCTGCCCGTCCCCGCCGGGGGCCGGGCACGGGGGCCGGCGGGCGGGCGGCAGGGTTGACGCTCTCTGTCCTTCGTGGGCCTCCTGGGAAGCCCTCGTAGCGACGGCTGGGCTCATCAGTCTGACTGGAACGCCGCTCTGGCAGAGGACAGGGGTCGAGTCCGAGGGGGGCAGGGGGGAGCACGATCTAGAAATGCAAGCGTCGCAAGGAATCACAGCACCCAATGCGCAAACGGCAAATTCGTATGCAAATGAGTACAAAAGGGATTTGACAGGATCCGCCGGCCCACTTGTGGGGCCACCAGGCTGCAGGGCGAAGGTTTGCTGCTCTCTACAGAGGTTGCAGTTTCCAATTTCCAATGTGATGGCTCTACGTTCTGCTTCCTACCGTGAATTGTCACTGAACGCGCGAGGGGGAGGAGCCGAAAAGCGCCGGTTTACCACTTCCCTCCGGGGTTCGCAGACTTCTTAGGGGGCCGTGGGACACGTAAAAATACATGAGACAGATTACTCAATATTTGCGTCCCCGAGGTCATAAAACCTAGTTAATAAGGAATTGAACAATACGTTGTGAACCTGAACATGCCGCTTACCAATCGCCCTCGCAAGAATTTCCGACATTGCTTCACAATGGCGCCAAGGAAATCCAGCTTAGCTCTGGCATATCCCTTTCCGATAGAGGGGGCTGGCGGCAGGGGGCAAAGCCCTTACGGATAATAATATGCTGCTGTTGCCCTCTCTTTCTCTCTCGCTCGTGCTTTGTGTTTCCTCTCGTCATTCGGCTTACAGCTGGGCGGGAGGGTGGACGCACCTATTCACGACTAAGCCTGAACACGGCAAAAAAGGGTATCACCATCTGCTTTGCCTCTCTTGCATCAAGAGTTGTGGGTTGGACCGTGTGACTATAATGTACACTGGTAACAAAGCAGTTTCTGTTCCATGTCTGCGGGAATTTCATATCGAGTGGCAGAGCAAGGCTACATGTGGGCGCTCATTTTCGCGCTAGTGAATTTCAACAGCGCGCTCCACATCGTTGAGGGGCTCATCGCCCACAGCTTAGACGACAGCGGTAGCAAAAGCATGGGCGAGGACAACGACATCAGATACAACGTGTTCAGCGGCAGCTGCCTACCTGGCAAGATGACGACGTCCAAGCATCAGCTCCAAGACGGACCCCTCTACGTCGACAAGGAAGGCGTGGTTCACTACAATGGCGACCCTGCCTACAAGGAGGAGTTCGAGGAGAGAGCGACTCTTGGCTACCGTGCGAGTGAGGACAATATTCAGAAGCTCGATGTCATCAAGCTCAGGAATGCGCTCAATGGAAGGGCGTGGAATCTCACACGCCAGGAGGTCGGGAATACGACTCAAGCAATCCTGGAAAGAACAGATGAGGACCCGCGTGCTGCAACACAGTTGGTAGTGGCAACGGTTCGACCAGTATGCGAGAGGATCGTGCCACTGCAAACGCAGCAGGCATTCGACGAGTTTTTTATTCAGGGGCCTCCGACAGCGGTCGGAGTCAGTTCAGGACTACATCTCAAGGCGAGAGGCGGAGTAGGAGAAGCAGTGTTGACGAGGCCGCTGGCATCGATGCTCTCGACAGCGCTGGCGAGGAGGATGATTGCGTCGTCGATCCAGGCCGTGCTGCCGAGGATGCTGCCTTCGAAGTTCTCGGCCCCGCTGGCGAGGATGATGGCGCCGGTGACCCAGGCTGCGGTGACGAAGATGCAGGCGTCGGTGCCCTCACCTGCGCTGCCGAGGATGGTGGCGTCAGTGCATCGTCGTCGCGGTGGCGCGTGCACGCGCCCTCTGACCGCCGCTGTGGGGCGGACGCGGCGCGGGCCGTCCTGGCCTCGTGAGCGCTGGAAGGGACAGGGGGGCCGCCCGCCATCGCGGACACGAGCGAGATAGACGCGGGCAGGGGTGAAGGACCGACGGCAGAGGCGGACTCGGTGTCGTCGTCCTGAAGATCGTGCCACCGCGGTCGAAGTGGACCGCGGTGAGGGGCGTCGGGTCGAGTGTTGGGGAGGGCGTCGTGGACGCAAGCCGTGGGAACTCGTCTGCCGACGCACGCAGTGGGAACCCCGCAGTCAACGCAAGCTGCGGGAACCTCCGCATCGACGCAAGCCGTGGCATGGGGAGAACCCGTTGCGAGGGCCAGATGAGTGGGATGGGCCCCAGGACCAGAGAGCCACCGCCGAGACCCAACCTGCCCGCTGGGGCCTTGCCCGATGCCCGCTCCTGCGTGCGGATGGCCCAGCCCGCGGGAGGGGGTGGTGCAAGGGGGGAGGTGTCGGCCTGGCACCCGTCGGACGGCGCGGCCAGCAGCCGCAACCCGACATCCGCGCACACGCTGACCCCAGCACTGCAGCTGATGGCGCTGGGCGCCACTACATGCGCGGCGTCGGGGTCGGCGTCGGGGGCGTCGGCGGCGGCGTCGGAGGTGTCGCAGGCGCCAGAACCTGGAAGACGAGTCCTTTGGGCGGGGTGGCGTCTCCCAGATTTGTCCGTACCGCTGCCGCTCTCGCCGTCGTCGCTTGATGGTGTCGAGGGTCGTCAGAGGGATCATCAAAATAATCACGAAGAAGAGGATCAAACTACGTAATCATTAGGAATATCATCACGGGACTCGGAGGCGACCTCCCTGGGTGTCATGCGCAACGTCGGGTGGAACGTCGGGCAGAGCGACGGGCGGATGAGTGGCGACGGGAGTGGGGAGAATAGTGCTGAGGGCGGCGTCGGGGATGGCGTCGGAAGGAGAGCCAGGCGGGGAGTCGGCAAGGCCGTCGGGAAGGTGCTCCGAAGGGGGGTCCGTGGCGACCGGCCGGAAGTCGGACAGGGGTTTCGGGCAAGCCGCCGGGCGGGTCTTCGGACAGGTCGGGCCGCTCGGCGCGCTCGACAATCCATCTCCGCGAAGTGAGGGCTGCCCTCATCTTGGACCCAGAGATGGCAATGAGCCGCCAGAGGCGGGCCAGATTGGCAGGGAAGGTCCGTGAGGTCCGAGAAGGCCCGCCTGCGAGGCGGCGGGGCCTCCCCTTCGCCCGCGTGGGCCCAGCCCACCGAGAGGTCGAGGGGAAGGGACCGGGAGGGGGGCTGAGCGTCAGTGAGAGGCGGGGCGGATGTCCCTGGCCCACACACGCAACACATTGGCACATCCCTCACACGCTTTGTGGCCCCAGAAGGAGCCCCACCGAAGGCTTCTACAGGAGAGCCCGCATGCCCCCCCTCCACTGGGGCACAGCTCACACGTCTCGTGTCCCCACAGGGCGCTCCACCGAAAGCTTAAGTAGGAGTGCCCACATGCCGCCCCTCCCCTCCACTTTGGCAAACCTCTCACGCGCTTCGTGATCGCATGGGGAGCTCCACCGAAGGTTCCAGTAGCAGAACCCACGTGCTGCCGCTTCCCATGTTGGCACACCCATCACACGCTTCTTGGCCGCATACGGACCTCCACCGAAGGCTCAAGAAGGTGAGCCCGCATGCCGCCACCCTCTCACTTTGGCCCCCCCCCCGGACGTTCAGTGGCCCCGTAGGGGAGCTCCACCGACGGCCCGACGGCTCCAGTAGGAGGGCCCTCATGCCGCCACTTCCCCACTGTAGCAGACGCCTCACACGCTTCTGGCCGCACAGGGAACTTCACCCAATGCTGTAGTCAAAGGGCCCGCCTGCCGCCCCCCCCCCCCCGCGCACACGTTGGCACACCCTCACAAGCTTCGCGTCTTCATAAGAAACTGAATCGAAGGTTCCCTTGCCGAGGCTCGCATGCATGCCGCCCTTCCCTCCACGCGCGCACCCACACACACACACGCACACACACACACACTCACTCTCTCACACACATACACACACACACACACGCGCACGCACGCACGCACGCACGCACGCACGCACGCACGCACGCACGCACGCACGCACGCACGCACGCACGCACGCACACACACACACACACACATATATACACACATACGCACACACACACACACACTTCGATGTGTAGAAGAACCCCGAAGGGATACATATTTGTCGGCGGCTCCCCTTGAAGTCCTCTTGAGGTCTCATCGGCACCCACCCAGCTGCACCCCATTTCCATTCAAATGGCGTTCGACCTCAGAGCACGACATTTCCGACATCGAGAGACATGCTTACCCTGCGAAACCACGGCGTGTGCGCCGTCTTCACGGCTTGAGCGCTAGCCTAAGCCCGCAAAGTGTGTCCTGCAAGCAAAACAGTTGCGTGTGCATAGGCATGCATGGTGTGCAAGGAAGAGGCATCAAAAACTGCGCACGCGGTAGCTCCCTTCCCTATCCCTGGGCCCGCTAGCGCATGCAGAATATATTCTCAAGAATGGCTCCCGTAGATAACTGACGAGAAATCCCTAAAGACAAAGCCTTGCTATATACTGATGCTGAAACGAAGAGCACACGCACGCGCGCGCACACGGCCGACCCAACTAGGGAGGGTAAGAAGCATAAAAGATCGAGACAGGAGTCCTCTGCCGCAGCGCCCGCCGCCTGCATCACCGGCTCCTCTCGGCCAAACGCTCAGGCCCTCGAGTTGTGGGAGACCTTCGGGAATCGTGCGCGCTACTCGAACCAGCTGCATATCGCGGCCACACCTGAGAACGCGGCGGCCTGACCGAGATTGAGTGCCAAATCGCGCAAGCAACAAGTCGCTGGGCCCAGAGTAAAACTCTCGGCCCCTCTCGGGGAAAGCTGGGGGTCGGACTTTGGACGGGGCGCCGCATTGGCATGCCAGAAGCCAAGGATATACTCATGGCCGATCTTGTCCGCCAGGACTGGAGCCATCTTCGTGGATTCCACGGGTGCCCTCTCAGCGCTGAGGGCTGCAATGCTCCCGGGGCCACCCACGAACAGGCAACTTGCAAAAGCGACGTAGAGAAAGACAGTAGAGATGCAAAACAACACCAACCTCCAAACACTGCGGAGGGAGGAGGGAAGGGGGAAAGACAGGAGAGGGAAGAGCAAACACTGTGACGGGGC